TTGTGTTCCTTTAGTTTTTCCTTTAAAGAGTTCACTAACCTGGCCATCCACCCTGTCGTATGAGCAATATTTTGAAAAACTAGTACGGTAGTTGGTTGCTTGCCCTCAGTTTAAAATTGAAATTGCAATTATTACATTTTAAATGAAAAGTTCATTCTTTCATATTAGTTTATGAGACCTCAGGCATTCTGATGAAATCGGAAATGACTTTTGAAGCAATTACTAGTTAGGCGAATAAGTTTATATTTTTATTCGACTGCAATATTTTTAGTTTATTTCCTATGTTTGTTTTATTTATTGTACGTGTTCATTAATATATATTTTTTAAATTCCTATTATTAATCGTTTGTTATTTGCTTTGCAACATTTATTTTTTATTTGTATTATTTGTTTTATTTTATTACTTGTATGTTATTTATTTCATTTCTTTTATGCCTTTTTATACATAATTCATTTATATATATCATTAATTTTATTAAATGTATTTTGTTCATTTTGTTGATTTTATTTTATGTACGTATTCATTTTAGTTTTTTCTCTATTGTTTTATTTACTTAATAACTTTATTTATTTTAAACCTTTTGCCTATTCGATTTATATGTTTTGTTTATTTATTTACACAATTTATTTTGACTTTACAATATAGTTTTGTTATTTAATTTATTTATTTGATTTCATTTAAATTATTTATTTTCTATAATTTATTATGTTTATTTCATTTATTGTATTAATTTTATTATTTATACATATTTATTTTAGATTTTTTATTTATTTGCTTTATTTTATGAATACTTATATTCTTAATTGTTTTATATATTTTACTTCAATTAAATCATTTTTATTTTGAATATTTAGTTGTTGCTTAAAATTGTACTTTACATATTTTTAATTCTTTTATTTCTCTAATGCTTTGTTTATTTTTTTATATTTACGATATTTAATTAATATTAATATTTATTTATTTTTCAAAATGGATTTATATTGGTTGAATGAGTTTCTGAACTAAATTGCTCGCATTTTTGAATTGCTGAGGAGTCCATCCAATTCTTCAATATAGACGTGGAGGCGGCTTTTGCTCGATTTAAGAAAGTAGAGGCTGCCACAGCCATCCAAGATCCGCTTAGTGATGGGTATTATGAGGGTATTATGTATTCTGTCATTGTAACAATTGGCTTAGGAAGTAATTGTTAGCCTTTGTAGAAAGTTAGGGCGGGAAACTTGTCGCCGATGCGTTCGCCGCTTAATTAATTTCTTTTGTGGGGCATGGAGCGCTTAAAAGGTAATTTCTCATCATCATAATCAAATAAAAGCAAATGACACGTACACTTTTAAAAATTTATGGAGCCGGCGAGTTCACTCACTGTTTACCTGTTTGTTATATAATGGAAGTAGAGTAGCGTTTAACAGAAAACAAAAAAATATAATATTGCACAATCAATTCATTACAACTCTAATACGATGGGCAGATCAGTAGACACGAACTACTCTCCTACAACTCTATATATTCAAAAGCATTAAGGTACGATTTTAGAACTGAAATGTGACTAAATGTTTATCGTTTTTCAGTTTCAATTTATTGCATTTATTTGTGAAATATGGTGTTTCTTATGAAACAAAAATGATTTTTTTGTACCAATCATTCCTATGATATAACCAACTAATTTTGATGAAAACCAACAATATACTGAGACTCTCCAAATACCACATATTACAAATTACAAAGATTGATTTGTCACCTTTTGTTCCTAAGACAGCCGTACGATATACAAGTAGTAATAATACTTTAGAATTTGATTAGGAAACAAACAAGTTGTTCCAACTAAATGGGATTTCTGCATCGATCGATCCTATGATAATAGCTATATATTTTGATGAAACTTTCGAATATCATGAGATAACTTGCAAAATTCGTTAATACCAGATTTGCTTGAGATATTTTCACAAACAGACAAAATATACTTCCTAGAGTGACTTCTGCACCGATCGTTACTTTGTCAGCTATATAATAAAACGGGATTATATATTATTTGCAAAGAACTTCCTCTTCCAGTCTACGAATCAAGCATAACAAATAGATTTGTATTTAAATGAAAGTGAGCAATAAACAAATTTAGTTTTTTGCTCGTGTCTGTAACTTTTGGCTGGAATGTTTGGATTGATGCTTAGTTTCAGAAAAAAAAACGGTTCCACTAACAGGTTGAATGCTTGGGAACCCAGAAGGCAGTGAAACTAAAAAGTCATTGAATGAGAAGTGAATAAGAAATTACCCGGCAGGTCTCTATGTATATATTTGACATTGTATTTGCTCTCACTACTTGTGCGTTGCACTTCAGAAGCCGATGCCTCGCAGCCAGAGGTGCAGCCTTGCCACACACACACACACACACACACACACATGCAGACATATAAGTGCATGTGTTTACATACAACAAACCAATATTGAGTGCCTTTCTTGTCTGCCTTCGATTTTGTTTGCTGAGCATTAAATCGCAACACACTACATACTCGAATATATGTATGTACATATGTGTAGTGATATGCTGCGATATGTTTGTTAAGAGCAGGCTTGTCTGTATGTGTGTGTGTGTGTGTGTGTGTGTTGACCCACTTCGCTTAAGATGTCTATTAACACTTTTCACCTTTAATAAGTGAAGATGTTGTCATTAAAGTGCTGCTTCTTCACTCAACTATTGTTTACAGCTCTGTGTGCTTTATTTTCACTTTACGAGTGCAAGTGCGATTGTCAGTCTATGTGTGATATATAGAACTACACACACACACACACACACACACACACACACACACACACACACACACATACATATAATGAACAGCATAGTGAACAGTTGAACCACCGGCTTGGGCTCACTTCTCTATACAAACATATACAAAAACTCCACATTTTCATCTTCTTTTGTTTAGCAATGTTCGTTTCTGTTTTCCAAATTAAAATGGGCTCTGAATTATATATAGAACTGGATGTAGTTTTACTTACAACTATGTATGTGTACTTTAAACTTAAAAAAATTGAAACTTGTCCCGCCTAAGACTTACATTTTTGGAGATCCTTGCGCTTATACAGAAAGGCGAACATATCGACTCGTCTTCTCATGCTGATCAAGAATTTATATACAAATAATATTCAGATAATTACTCGTAGCTTGTTGGGTAACCCTTTCTTTGAAAGGCCTTTGACATTTACCCCATTTTATTATATTTAATTATAAGTATTACTACTACTATGTTTTTAATTTTCAAATATGTGTTTACAAGGGCGTGGGCAGGGGGGCAATGGCACCCCCCCCCCCCCCACCCCCTTTAACAAAATTTTGCCATATAAAGTCGACCACACGTTCGTTATTATGACGCACTATTTCGCCTTAAAATGGATCTGAGTTCGATTTGTTGAAGTTTTTTCACTGATCATATGCATAAGATATTTTTAAAATGCATCGTGCATTATTTGATCAAAATATTAATTTTTTGGCGCCCCCCTTTGGTAAAAGCTGCCTACGCCCTTGTGTGTTTATATCTGTGTATGAGTGTGTGCGTGATTCTGATATTCAGGGAAAGAAGCAACACAAAAGGGGAATACGAATCTAGCTTTGTTATTTATTGGCAAATTCCTACAATCCATTGGAAATCTGTATAATTGCACAAGGATATTTGTTTAAAACATTAGTATGCATGTCTATGTGTATGTATTAAGTATTCAAAGCAATTCAAAGCAATGTGTTGCTTTGAGCTCGAAGTACGAGTATCTAAGAATGTTGTGAATATTAAGAGCTCCATCAGTTGTTGTAGACTTCAAACATTTTGTGAATTCAAAAAGTGGGATCAGCTCATAAACAATTAACTTTCCCAACATGTGTATACATTTTGTGTGGGCTTCATCGTGCGAAGGAATATCATTTGGCGGTTAAAGGACTGTTAGGATGGTACTAGGTACTTGGCAAATAGTTGAAGATGCAGTATCTCGTGGCTTAATGTATAACCAATAATCGTATTTAATTCGTTTTAGCTCAAAGTGAAATATTTTCTGAATAAAAATATTTTGTCAATTTATGAATAAGCAAGGTGGGTGCTCAGCAGTGCAGGGACTTACTCAATTGTGTTAGTGTAGAGAGTGTCAGTTACTGCTGACATACATACTTACATACATATATACATACACATAGTAGTATGTGTCGGATCGATCGGCTTAAGCGCTTATCGCTTTAAATTTGCACTTTTCATTTGTATTGCAAAATTGTATTTTGCTTTTGTATTTTGGGGGCAATCGCACGTTAAATGTGAAGTCAAGTCAATCAATCAAGCAGTCAGTCAGTCAACCAGTCAGTCAGCCAGGCAGGCAGTCAGGCAGTCAGGCAGTTCAACTACAACAGCCAATGGCTGTAAAATTAATAATAAATTGTAATCAGCAGCTGGACAGCTTGATGGACAGACAGACAAACAGACAGACAGACAGACAGACAGTCTGTGAGACGAGAGCAGAGACAAAAGTGAAAATAATGTGCACAACAAATGATCCGCACAGAGCCCACCACAATGGCTATAAAATTAAGCGAAAATAACTGCAACAACAACAACAACCACAATCACGCTTTCTAACGTTTACATTTCATTTTTCTTTTGCAAAACTCCTCAGGTGAGCAGCAGCAACAACAACAACAACAGCAGCATCAGGAATACAATTACAAACATATTTATTTGTACAATAAAGAACGCGTCGATAACGAGCACAGACAGAAGAGGAAGCAGACGAAGCGGAGACAGAAAACAAAAGCTATACTTGTAGAATACAAGTACAAACAACAACGAACAGCAAATCAAGTGAAAACTAAAGACTTAAGTGCAGTGTAAATACATAGTTAAGCCATAACAAAAACAACAACAACAACAACAGCAATAGCAACAACAACAACGCTATCAACATGCAGCGACAGCGACAACAACAACAACAACAGCAAACACAAACAGCAGCTCAACCAAAGCAACAGCAGCAGCAGCAACAACAACAACGGCAACAACAACAACAGCAACGACAACAACATGTACGTGGCATGGGTGCTAAGAAGATTTGGATGCCGCTTATCATATTCCTTTCACTGCAGGTGAGTCTCACGATTAATACGAAATTGATTGTCGAAAGTGCGATGCTCGTTTCGAATGGCAGATAATGCAGAATTTCTATCTAATTAGCCAGTTAGGATATTGTTGGGGCAACTTCAATTTATAATAGCTTTGTCACCAACTGCATTATCTACAAGTATTTATTTAATTATTTATGTCGAAATACATAGGACTGTCGACATAGGAAATAGATAAAAATTGTAAAAATCATCTTAAAGCCTAAGAAGGAGAAATCTAATCAAATTAAAATAATATCTAATTAACGCCTCCTAGCTTCGGCTAGCTGTGCCCCGTCTCACAGCCAAGTGTGGTCAAAAGGCGTCAATAGATCTAAAAGATATAAAAAAGAACAACTTTACAGAGACAAGAAGCTTGGAATTACTTAAAAGCAATATTAAAAAAGATTTTAATTTGAAATCTCAGACTCTGTGGGGAAAGATTGTTTAACCAGTCCGGCAAGCTATGACCCGACTCACAGCCGATCCTGGTCAAAAGCAAACCGATCCGCTAATGAATGGACATCTACTTAGATAAAATAAACATACACTGCACGTCATCAGCTTAACGCGCCCCCATTATAATCTCTCTAATGTTTAATATTTTCCAGGGACTGTAATCATTATAAGTGTTATTAAACAAATTACAAAATAATGATTATTTTTTAATTTTATTAATTCGCTCGCAGTTTAATGATTAATTTTGAGTTTTACTTTAAAATTTAACCAATAATCATTATTGATGAGCAACAAAATAAAACTTATAAAATAATGATTATTCTTTGAGTTTTATTTTTTTGATCAAAAATAAAACTCAAGCTGAAATTTTGTCTGTTTCATAAGGATTAAGGACAAAATTTATATATATCCTTAATCAGTGAGTCAAGGCGAATATTTTTAATTAATTAATTTTTAATTAACTAAATAATTAATTTATTAAATAATTATTTTTTAAATCACAATTGCGAATTTTTAAAGTAAAACTCAAAATTAATCATTGAATTGAGAGCGAATGAATACAAATTAAAATTTATAGATCATGGTGAAAACACATAGATAATCCTTAAAAAGGATGTCAGTAAATTCCTCGCTTTCCAATAGTTACTGTAAGTGAATGATTTTTTCGTTTAAAAAAAAAACAAAATAATCATTATTTGCGGTCCCTGACATCTTCTAATTTATATTATAATCTATAATTCTTATCCATTAAGCTTTTATCAATCCTCTTTAAACAAAAAATAACGATAGCGACTGAAACATTTTATAGAATGTTTTAATTATTCTTTTATGAAAGAATAGTCTTTTAAATTTGTATTAAACTTTTTTCTGCATTATACTTTAACTATTTTTTAGCAAAATTAATAGTGGCTAGTCCCGTCTTTGTTAGCAATTACTTCATAGATTCGATTGGGTATTTGTACATAGAGGCTTCCAATGTAATTTATGGAAATGGTGGACCAAGCGCGCTTATGCCTTCGATTAACTCCGCTTTTGTTTTATATTGTTTTCCCCATTCTAACACTTTTGTAGCCAACCATCCCCAGATGTTCTCGATGATATTAATATCAGGCGAGTTTGGAGGCCACTCAGGAAAACTTCTTTACAGATATAGTGCCCAGAACGCATGATTAAACAAATCAAATGCTTCCATAAAATTTAATATTTGTCCCCCTTAGGACAGATATTAAATAAAGAATAAAGATTTAAAAAAATGAGATATTTTCAATAAAGCCTTGCATGAAATTACAAAGCTTCAATGGTTTGGAAAATTTAGAATCGCAGCTTCTGGAAGAACCACTCGCTCTTACCCTCCATCTTACAAGTGATGACATCTTTCAAATTCTTGGAAGACAGCTTCTCATCAGATGATTGTTGTTCAAGCTCTACAGTAATGCCTTTATTTTAGACTTTTTCTAGTCGGCTCGATGCCGGTGACCCAGGCAGGATCGAACCTTTACGATATTGCGCTGTTACTTTAAGTTCTTCAACTCGGTGAAGGATTCGATTCGCTGAACGAAAAAGAAAAACAAGTAAAAAAGCTAAAGTCGCGTGTCCCGACTTTGAAATACTCTGTACATATGTTTACAATAATTAAAGAAAAAAAAAAATAAGAAAATTAAAAAAAATTTGATCGATTTTACCTTTCTCGGTATTCGAACTCACGTAAAGGGTATATAATTGCACATATACAAAGCAATTGCGTCTATGTGAGTGTATGTATGTTTATGTGCGTCTATTTGTGTCTGTGTAAGCATTTTCGCAGTCAACTAAACAGCAACATCAACAACAGCCGTGGGCAGCGCTTGGGCAGCGCTTGAGCAGCGCTGCAACAGCGCTGCAGCAGCAAATATATTTATGGCTATAACTTCTTGTTAAATCGGTCTATCATAGTGAAACTTGACACACGGACATATAATAACCAACTGGGGGTATTTCCAAAATTCCAAGAATTACGGGACTTAGAGAAAATCGCATTTGCGGGGGAAAGGGGGGAGGGAGGGAAATTCCAAAATATACATTTTCTGCGTATTCACACAAGGCATCTTGGACTAAAATTTGGTGTTCCTAGGTCTTATAGTCTCCGCGATATAGGCGATTATACGAATGGAAAATCGGGAAAACCCCCATAGGGGGGAAGTGGGTGGGAAAATCAAAAAAATAAAACAAACTCGTATAGCGTACACACATAAGGCATCTTTGTGCAAAATTTTGTGTCTCTAGCTCTTATAGTCTCTGAGATCTAGGTGATCATACGGACGGACGGACGGACAGACGGACAGTCGGACAGACGAACAGACAGACAGACAGGGCAAAATCGACTCGTCTTGTCATGCTGATCAAGAATATATATACTTTGTGGGGTCTACCACGCCTCCTTCTGCCTGTTACATTTTTCAGCTCGCGCAAACCTAATATACTTCTGTACATTTCATGTACAGAGTTTAATAATACTTCCCGCCGTTATTCCAAATATTTTCTCCAATAAGCAGAAAGTCTTTGCCACTGCCAATGCTTGAAAAATTGATTAATTTATAACTTGCTTCACTCTTTTCTTTTAAGTTTAAATTAAATATATATGGATTAAATATATATGGATTCAATAAATATACTTCAATTACCTCAATACATTTTACGATCCTTAATCGAAAGATATGAAATACATATAAAATATAAAATAAAAATTTTATAAAATTTTAAAACACTTTTAATTCCATCGAAGGCAGTCCAAATAACAATGATAACATGCTGTGTATATCGATTTATATATAGCCTTTTTATTGGCCCTAATTAGGCATTGGCCAATTGTGTTATTAAGAAATTATTTTACCGAGAAGCTGACCTTATTTCCTGCATGGCCGTTCCAGACCGGTTAAGAGCACTTTGCGATGCGCCCGCCCTGTTGTGCGGCAAAGCGTTTCACTTTCCTTATAAGACGACAGCAGCAACAACAATAAACACAGCCATCCCGATAATATTTGCAACAACAATTGTGGACTGCTCGCTGGCGAGGTCTTCCTTCCAAAAACAACAACAACAACAACAACATCTTCTTTTTTTGTCTTGGCTATTTCTAAGTGCGCCTTTGACCTCAAGCCTGTTGGCTGTTAACAGACTTCTGCCTCATGCGACAAATAAAAAGCAAAAACAAAAACCAAAGTCGTTTGGCAACACATTCTGAGACTTGGCCACAGACAGACCAGAGTTTTGTTGTTTTTGTGGCTGGCTGGCTAGCCTGACGAAGTTTTCTTTTACTTTCTCTCTTCTTGGAGCGCTACTCGTTCGCTTTTTTTTCGGCTGAGGTCAAAATTAGGCATAGCCAGCCAGCTTCCAGCATCATCGTCATTATTTGTCGCATTAGCAGATGCTGTTGCCACAACAACAACAACAGTAACAACAACAGTAACAATAACAATAGCAGTTACAACAGCAACAATATCAAGCAACAACATCGCCACGATTTTCCGACCAGCCGACCAACCAAACGCCCTTGCCTCTGGCCTCCATGCGAATCGAAAGTAAGCGCGCAGATCGGCCCATTTATGTATGCACCTACATATATACTTGTATATATATATATATATATATACATAGTGTATAATATATATATATATATATAAATACATATTTGGGCTCCCTATACCTAGAAATAATAAAACTATACTATATTCTTTATTAAGACTTCTAGAGATATTTGCAAAAAAGGCAGACATTTAAAACTGTTGCCCATGAACTAAATATTTATATAAACAGTATATTTTCGATTTCAATTTGTGGTTCAATTTAAAACGTATGCTTCGAAAATATATAAACTAAATAGAAGTTTTCTATGTTTGAAAGACACAATTCAGATTTGTCATCAAACATAATTTGATGCCTTTTTATACAACTTTGTTATTCTTCGCCATTGATTTTTTTTTTATTTGATTAAAAAGCTAATATTTGGCTTTAACTTAATACGAAGAGTAGTCCCATTTTTAATTTATTCACTAATTTTGATGGGATATGATCCTTTTTTTAGACTACATTAAAGACAATTAAGTGCCATTTAACAACTAGGAGTAATATTTTCCACATAGCTGGGAAAAACATAGCACTAATATGTTCGCATTGCAATCGATCGTTTTATTCTAATAGTACGAACTTTTATACACAAATGAAAATTTTTGGAATTTTTAAAAGTTGCCTTCAGTTGTCCTTCAGTGGAAAGAGAAAGTCTGCTTGAATGGTTTTATTTTAATTAAAGGAACATCATAAAAATTCGTTTAAATAAATAACAAAATTATAAATGTATTTAAAGAAACAAATGATCATTCCATTCTCTCTAAGGCACCAATCTTTGTAATTCCAAGAAGAGAACGAGAATAGGAACTGAAAAAGTAGTCAGAGGTGCTGTAAGAAAAGTTAAATCGTTTGAGGCTTATGACAAACTATTGCTATGAATCATATTCACATCATATCAGTAGTGATGTGTAAAAACGTTAAAAATGTCGATATATATAACTGAAGCTATATATTACAATGCTGCTGCTGATTTAGATAAGAGAGACAAAATTTCACATTGCTGCAGTCTCAGGCTGAGACTCTTCTGCATTGCAAAATCCGATCATGTGCTTTTTTCTGGCCATCGTCTCGCCTCTTTAATATGCATTGGTGTCGCACAAAGCGGTTCGTGCGGCTTTTGTCAATTGCGGAGCCATCGGAGCCACCGGAGCCACCGGAGCCACCACAAGCCTCCACCTCCACCTCCACCTTGACACTTGGCAGCCTCTTTGACGCGTCTAACTCCAAATCACGTTGCTGTCGCCAGCGACGCGTACATACATACATACAGACAAGTATATACGGATTTACTATACTATATATGCATGTAAATTGCTTGATATTTTTAGAATTTAATTTGGGCAGCGTGGTGGCGCGGTGCGAAACTTGTTCGCCATGCATGTCACTTTCTACGAAACAGGATTTTTGACTGCAAAGGATGGGTAGCGGTGGTGATGGTGGTGGTGCTGGCGGTGGTGCAGGCGGTGGCAGTGGTTCGTCGCTTTGATTATGTGACATCGGGCCGATGTAGGACTGCGGTCGGTCCATGTAAGTGTTGATTATGTTGTTGTTACTGCCGCTGGAGAAAGTTGTTAGCACTTTCTGATTTGTAGGTACCTTTTAGCATACGCGGTACAGTCACATTTCACACAGATTCTGACAAATTGATAATTGATAACATCGAAATATTGCGGCAATATTCGATTTTAAATGTATAAGTATAAGAGATGGGTAGAAGTTGCGGGCTTAGTTTTGTTTTTTCACTCTTTTTCACGAACGCATAATACTTTCAAAATCAAATTGAAATTCAAAATTTTAGGCAATCTTAGTTTCAAAATTATATCTTAAATAATTCTATATAATACAGGTGACATTTATAAGTCCTTAATCTGCGATTTCACATTCTTCATTCACCAAAGAGCAATTTCTATAAATGAAACAAAACAACATATAAAATATTCTTTATTTAAATTTCGTCAATATTAAGTTCTTGTGAAAAAAAATGCAATGAAGATCTTTTCCGCTCTGTTGAAGGAATAAAGATCTTCAACCTATAAATAAGAAATCGTAATTCCTCAAACTGATAGCCATTTAAAACAACAATGTTACTTGTATATATTTTGTAGATTCGAAATGGGCGAAATGGATAAGCTCCTGTGGCTCCACCAGTCATCTGGCCAATCGTTTCATTAAGGCATTAAGCTTGATCATCTATATAGTAATAGCAAGTGGATTTAAGACTTACGATCAAACCGTCACTACTGAGTCTGAGAGTCCATCTGGTGCTCCTGCAGGTTGTAGGTCTTTTGGTTATCTGGGAAGTTATCTGGGGCAGACCCGTGAAGACCCGAGTGTCGTCTCCACATAAGTTTTCTGTCTTTTATTGAAAACTAAATTGTAATAAACAGTTCGATATCTGCATATATATCAATAACTACAAGTAGCAATCGGAACTCTCAGTTCTTTTAAATTATTATCCGATTAGTTACGATTGTGAATAAAAATGTAATTTCTTAGGGAATAAATAATAATAAGTTTCAAAAAACAATCTTCAATTTAGCATTGAGAACTCTCAATAGAATTGTAGCTCATTTGGGGTTTTTCTCAGCTCGATATCAGGCTCTACATATATCTTCAATTTATGAATTGTTGGTTCTTTAAATTGCGAAGAACTTGAATTTATTTAAGCAAACAAGTTGTATTCTCTTTGCGGAATACATATACACCTGTACAAGTATGTATACCTGTATATATTATAGCATTTACTATTTATGTGAATTAACAGTGATATTTGTTGCCAAAGAAAAAGAAGAAGAAGGAGCAGAAGAAGAGAGGCATGAACAACAACAAAATGTGTTGTTTCTTTTTCACTTGCCAAGCATTGACATTGATGTTGAAGTTGAAGTTGATGTTGAGGCGGATCTAAAACGCAAGTAAGAAGTTGGTTAACGACTGCACAAAGAAGAGGGGCGTTGTGGGGAGAGGGGTTGTGGTTGTGGTGTTGTGACTCGTTCGCCAACTGCTTCCGTAAATCTTTCGCATTGTGAAAAAGCGAAACTGTTACGCTTTGGCTGCCAATGTGGATGCCGCCAATGCGACAGCATCTTCATCCTCAACTGAAGCTTCAGCTTCAACTTCAACTTCATCTTTGTTTTCTTCTATTGCCTTATGCAATTTCTGACTGTGTGGCTGACTAGACACACAGACAAACAGACAGACAGTCAGACACACAATGGTGGCTCGATGGGTTGGCAATCGTTGCATCCGCCATTCGACAGCGCTGCGCCCATTCCACTTGACATTGCAACCGTATTTTTTTCTTCTTTTTTTTGTATTTGCAACGTTCGCGTATTTATCTTTGTTATAGCAATGGTTGTTGTTGTTGTTTTTGTTGCACGTTCGACACACTAAGCATTTGGCCGCTCTCTCATATATGCCTGTCGTCGTCTTCGTCTCTATTTGTTTTTCTTTCCATGTCGTGACCCATTTTCCAGCTGCTCGTCTTGGCGGATGACGTCGAGGTGGTGAAGTCGATTGCCGGTAATGAGGAGCTGCCCGAGCATGAGAACGAAGTCGATCAGATGGCACTTGAATCGGAGCAAGAGCAACAGCAATCGTCCAAAGTGCAGGTGAACTATCAACATAATGCCCCCCAAGCACCGCCCGTGGGATCAGTGGGTTCGGGCCTGGGACCAGCAAGAAGTAAGTAAACACAAAACCGGGGCAAACATTACACATACTGACCATACTATAATTAAATTGCAGGCAACAATCATCAGAATATACCGCTGAGTTTTGGTCAACCCTTTGGTCCACCACCACCGCCGGCTCAGTTCTATAAGGGACCGCCACCGCCGCCCATGTCACAGCCACAGCGGCCACCACCGCCGCCACCACCGCAGGTGCAGGTTCAAGTACAGTCGCCATCGCAGCAGCAGTCCCAGCAAGTACTGCCACCACAGGTGCTGCCAGATCTGAGTGTTGGCGGCTCGAGCAGTAATGAGATTTGGGCCTCGCCTGTGCAGGACATGCCGAAGATTATATCGTTGGATGTGAAGTGTGAGAAGAGCGGCATGAAGGTGTTCGTTCAATTCGACAAACCCTTCAACGGCATCGTCTTCTCCAAGGGCCATTACAGCAACATGAATTGTGTGCATCTGCCGTCGGGCTTAGGTCGTAGTTCGGCCACCTTCGACATCGGACTGCATGAGTGTGGCACCTCAGGCAATACGGAGAACTATGGCCAGAGCTATGGACATGAATCCGGGGCAGGCACCTATTTCGAGAACATCATCGTCATCCAGTACGATCCGCAGGTACAGGAGGTGTGGGATCAGGCACGCAAGCTGCGCTGCACCTGGCATGATCAGTACGAGAAGAGTGTTACCTTCCGACCCTTCCCCGTGGACATGCTGGATGTGGTGCGTGCCGACTTTGCCGGCGACAATGTCGGCTGCTGGATGCAGATACAAGTGGGCAAGGGTCCGTGGGCCTCTGAGGTCTCCGGTTTGGTCAAGATCGGTCAAACTATGACTATGGTGCTGGCCATCAAGGACGATGACTCCAAGTTCGATATGTTGGTGCGTAATTGTGTGGCTCACGATGGCAAACGGGCACCCATTCAGCTGGTGGACCAACGCGGCTGTGTTACTCGTCCGAAACTGATGTCGCGCTTCACGAAGATCAAGAACTTTGGTGCTTCCGCCTCTGTGCTATCATATGCGCACTTCCAGGCCTTCAAGTTCCCCGACTCCATGGAGGTGCACTTCCAGTGCACAATTCAGATCTGTCGCTACCATTGCCCCGAGCAGTGCTCCGACTCGAATCTGCAGGATGTCCACCACCTTCAGGTGGGACCCGAGTCCCAATACGGTCCACCGCCACCCCAACTGCATGTGGATGCCTACCATGTGGCCAGCGCGATTGGTAAGCGACGCGATGAGCGTCGTGTTCAGCGCCGAGCGCGCTCCGTCGGCAGTATGGATCTGAAGCCCGAGGTTGGTCTGAATCGCATCATCAAGGTGGTATCATCCGGTGATCTCACCTTTCCAATTGACGAGCAGAACACCAATGGCAGCAGTGTGGGTGCCATTGCTCCCCAAACTATGGTCTTTCCGATGCGCGAGGAGGGACTTATCTGTATGACTACGCCAGGGTTTGCCATCACGTTGATCGTACTGCTGGGCATATTGGTTACCTCGTGCCTTATTTCGGCCGTACTTTATGTACGCTTACGGCCGTTTGCCTCATTCGCCGCTAAAGAGCGCTCTGTCGCCTTCACGAACCCACAACTGGCAGCCTCTCTGCCCGTCATCCAAATACCATCGGCGGCGAGCGTGCAGGGCACACTTTCCAAGAAGCGAACGCTCTCATGAGCCATGACCAGGGCAGGCGCCAGTTACAGAGAAGGAAGCAAGGATTGCCTCACACATACACACACACACACATGAACACACACAAAACTACACATAAAAACACAGCATTTAAATGCCTAACTGTCGTCCATAAACCCATTATCCCTGGCACATTTTATAGTTTAGGTTCGTGCTGCAGAGACCGTTGCACCACCTGTTGCTGCCCCGCCACATTTTTAGTGTAATTTATACAATACGAGTAGTATTACCTTCATTAGTGTTCGCCCACATTTATTTTCTTCCATCTCTCTGTCCATCTAGCTTTCCATTTCTTCGAGAGACACAAATCAGATTTGAGTTATGGTCAGACAGACAAATATTTTGTCCACAAACATGGTTTCAATGCTACTTAATTTTAAAAAGTTATTAGGATGCTTGATATCTACGAGTTTGTGTGCAAATTATTTGCCCGTTTGACCGTAGATTTCTGAAAGGCTTCTTCTATCTGTCCGCCTCACTTGAACCCTGACGAGAATTTGTTAGCTTGAAATAGAAGGTGTGTTCAGAAAGACAAATAATTTGCTTATTCAAATGCGGCTTGATTTTTATATTATTTCAGTCAAAAAGTTTTAGCAATGCTTTGATATTTACGTTTTTGTGTACAAATTATTGGCCTGTCTGACCACAGCAATGTTTTTTTTTGTTTTTTTTTGTTTTTGGTCCATATTTTTGAAAAGATAGTCTCCCCCTACCTCCCATGCTATCCCATGCGCACACAATAGTTGTTCACAAGACACAACATACATATATAAATTAAAGTTATGCATAACACACATACATACATAAATACTTCAATTAGTCACTAAATATTTTAAGCACCCTAATCTTAGACTAATAGGTTCTTCGCATACGCTTCAGCAGTGGCCCGCTGCCGAGGCATTCACATGTATATTGGCCGCAGTGGCAAAAACATACAAACATACGAGTATTTAGAAGCAAGAAGAAACAAGAACAACAACAAAAACAACTAATTACAATTTAGTACAAAATTGATGAAAAAATTGAAATTATTAGAGAGTCTATATCGAATTGGTAATTAACGGTACAGTTATTGCCACTGCTGGCGAATGTAAAGACGATGATACTACAGGCTCGACTCAGCTGCTCTTCCAATTCGCTAGTACAATACTTATTGACGATTTCAGATAGAAAGGGCCTAGAACTCAGCCGATAATGTTGGAATCAAATCGTAAACCACATTTAAAAATTAAGGCACACATTTTATATTATTATTGCAACCATCTCTTCAACCATTGTTTCTGTGTTCAAAGCTGATTTTAGTACAAAATAATCAATTTTTTGTTTTTTTTTTTTGTCTTCCCACACGTACACATAAAATGAAGTGAGCTGCGCCCTATCTAGATGAGACCGACATTATATAATTTATTATCGCTATAGTCATATATTCTACTGCCTCTGCTCTAATTCTATTCACTTATGGTGTGAACTAATAGGTTTAAATTACAAATTTGTTGTTTATTTGCTCGTTCACCGATTAGTGCGTCTTTTAGTCGTTCGATTTTTAATTTTATCTAAATCTAAATCGAAGGGTTTTCAAATAAAAACACTAATGTTCTTGAAATATAGTTTATAGTAAATTTTTTTATACGAATAAAATAAATATTTATTTACAAATATTCCGACTGCAGTATATTTATTTATTGGCGATTCAGAAGAAATAATGTTTCAGGAAATAACAACACCCACAATATAATGGTTTAAAATTATATCTGGACTTCAAGCACTAAGTACTTACATAGTACTATACAAGTATATATGAAAGACCTTTTAAAGCAGATTTGCCACGCGAAGAGTTTCCTACAGATCCTAAGGCTAAATGACGTGGAATTCGTTTGTGCTTTGCAGGAAAATTTCACTTTTGTGAAATATTTACTATAGAAATCAAGACATAATCCATTGACAACGGTCTAAAATTGTTTGTTCCATTTCTCGCTGTGTATATAAGTAAAAGCTGCAGTTAAAGCCCATAGTGGAGCAATAATAACATAATTCTTGTTGTACTCTTCATAGTATACTTTTATTTAACTTGAAGGACTTACGAACATCCAGGTAGGTAGATACATAACCTTACAAAATAATCCAGAGATTTCATTTACGCATTTCCCTGCAAGTCGCTCAAGGGTATTGAAAAACAAAACAAAACATACCAGTTCTTTTTCAGTTTCTGTGCATTTTCTCTTGTTTGAAAATTCAAATTCTCTCAGTTCGTGTCCTAAGTCATTTGTTTGTGATAGATCTTGTGTTGCGGCTTTCTAAATTGTGTAACGTGTAGAGCGAATAATATATGAATAAAAGCTAGCTTAGAATCTATTGATAAAATAAACAAGAGAGAATGTGATAGTCGAGCAACCCCGACACTTATATACTCTGTAATCCAATAGAACTAGTTCTATTTGAGCGTAGAAGCAGAAGCAGATGAAATAAGACGAAAGGCGATTTTTCAGGAATCTAAATATTGATCAAAAAACATTACAACAATACAACAAACTAAATATAACTATAGAAATAAAAAAGCCTATGGAAATTATTATTAACAACGAATCCGACTTTATGGGGGGATTTTGTTTGCCAAACTGCCAGCTATGCCGGATTCACAGTAGAGAGTAGTCCGAGAAAAAGATTTCAGGAAGGAGAGCTCGAATTAGAAATCTGCTGAGAATATTTTTGCTGCCTCTTGAAATGGAAGTTTCGCGCAAATAACAGGTTAGGATGAACACTTTTTAAAAAGGTGGTGAAATGCAATTAAACTTGTGTGGAAGTTCCGAACAATTCGCTGTTTTCCCCATACTTACTACAAGTATGATGGGTTGCTCCAAAACTAGGGCTAAACTATGACCTTCCATTACTTGTCAGCATCCTCAGCAAAATTTACAAGCAATGATAACTAAGCTGCATAAAAATGCGTCCACAATGGAACGAACCAACCACCTGCAATAAAAGTCGGTGCACTGTATATAGATTTTCAACCTAACTACATTTATTTTGGGTATGTATTTTATTCAGTTTATTACAATTTTCGCTGCTGTTCGTGTTTTTCTCTATATAAAAAAAATAAATAAAAATACATATAGCATTATAAAAATGTTAGAAAGTTTTTGGCCTTAACAACCACAAAAGTGCAGGCTCGGGGCTCGATTTCAAGATCCTCTCTGCCATACAGATGTGTATTTGTTGCACAAATGCGTGATTGTGTTTTTTATTTTGGTTGTTAGTGTTAACAGCAATTTTTACTAGAAACGAGTACTCGCATAAAAAGTGTGTTTTGTTTCTCTTTGAATTTCTCTAAATTTCCCCTAGGCTTTAATATTTGTGTTTTGTTTAAACGAAACGCCGTTTCTAAATGTAAGTTAATTTTGTTTTTAAATAAATACGTATTCATAAATAATGGTTGTCACTTATGGTTAGTTATGTCCCAAGTGTTGGGAACATCATTGTCGTTGTTGTTGTTGTGTTGATTTGTGCAGTTTTTAAAATAAATATTTGTTGTGTGGCGCACAGTTTTTCAGACACAAACAAATAAATAATAAAAAAAAATATCCCTTCAATTTTACGACTAAAAGCACCCGAACATCAATCAGCACCGAGAATGGAGCGCATGTGTCAAAACTATTGCCATAATGCCCGAAAAATTGTGAGTACCTTCTTAAGTAGTGTACTTATGATAATCCAACAAAATATTGTTAAAAATACACCCCCAGCACTAAGTTAAATAATTTATGTTTTCTCTTCATTTGTTTTTGTTTGTTTTTTTTTGTTTTTTTTTTGTTTTTTTTTTTTTTTTTGTTTTTGTTTTGTGCAATACAATACACTGTTCAGAACTGAAATCAAGCAGGCTGAACTATTCATAAATACTACGGTTGCGGTCAGACAGGCAGATAATTTGCGCACAGATTAAGACAAATGATTCAGAGTTAACAGAAGAAGAAATGTTTTTAATTTCTGACGCCAAAATCAGAAAATAACAAAAATACGAAAATTATTGTTTTAAGTACGCAACAGTTTTAGGTACTTTTTGATTTTCAAAATACTTAGCTATAGTTCGATTTAAGTGGTTTTTGTTATATATAGAAAATGGTTATTGTTTCTATTAGAAATATTTTCATTTGATGACTTGGAAGCATCAGAGTCAGAAAATAATTAAAAACCAAGTACAAACAATGAGCTCGCAAATTATTCTTTTAAGTAAAAACTGTTCTTATAAGTATAAGTCGAAATACTTAATTATAGATCGGACATTTTTATAAAATATAATTTCTTTTTCCTGTAATGTTGATTTTCTTTGTTCCATAAACCATAAGTTCTTTGCTTTTATATTGGTATTCAAAAAAAGCAAAAGATTTGACACCAAAGGTTTCCTTTTTGTTTTATTCCTTTACCTATAGTATATGCCCCTCTCCATTTCAATTTCCAGTTTCAATTTTGATCTGATCATGACTTTTCTTTTAAAGTAGTAATTTCCTACACATTTGTATTGTTATTAATATCAGCATTATTATTTGAGATACGTATGCTATCAGTATTTATATTATCAATGATGGGTATTCATTATTTTTTATCCACAATCTGAAGATACAACTTCAAATAAACCAAACATATTTCTTATAACAGAAAACCATAAATTTAGGCCAAATGAAGCATTACAAATTCGTAACAATATTAATACAAAATGGAGTAAATTGAGGCACAATCGGTCTATAATTTTTCGATTCAACTGCTTAAAACATAGCTTTAACTAAACCAGTTAGGAATTTATAACAATTGTTGCATCGCGTTTCAATTATGATTAAAAAAAAAACACGTAAACAATGACGAAACAACAAAATTTTATACATTATAATTGTTCCACAAGCCAATTGCTGTGCAAACTATTTGCCTGTCTGACCAGTCCAGCTCTATGTATTCTACTTGTATTGGACATCAAGTTTTGTAAGTTACAACTTTTTCAGTCAATTGGATGTTGGTTTGTAGCTCCAAAAAATGGTAGGTGTGTGAGTTTTTTTTAAAAAAAAAAAGTTAATTTTAGGAAGTTATGGAAGTTGCGGTTCACTGCAACGGCTCGGCAGCAACAGTGGCTACCTGTTGTACTTGTACCTGTCGCTGTTGTTGTTGTTGCTGCTGCTGCTGATGTTGTTGTTGTTGTTGTTGCTGGTGCGCCTGCATATGTCGCATGCGGAAGAGACGCAGCGTCATCCAGGAGGCTAGAGTGCCAGGCACCGGCATGGGTGTCTGCTTCTGCAGCGCCTCCTTCTGCAGCTGATAGCGATAGAGGAGCGAGCCGGCAATGAGGGCCGATACGATTGTCGCCGAGATGACAACGATGAATAATATACTGAAGCCGGGCACGGGCAGACAGATGCCGTAGACAACCTCCTCGGTGATCTTGCCCTGGAAAACGGTGACTGCCTCCTGTTTGGAGTCGGGCGAGAAGGCCAGATCTGCCTCGGAGATGACATCGTAGAGGCCGCTGACGCCCACATCGGCGCTACGTACGCGACGATCGGCAACAACCAGCGAGCGACGACGACGACGTCGTTGCTGTTGGCTTGAACCATCAGTGGCATTGCTGGCATTTCCATCGTCCTGTGCTGGCACATCCAGATCGATGTGCTCGGCGCTGTGCGGCTTCTCCTGCTTGAGGGCCTCGGGGCGGTAGACGGGACGCGGCACATCGTCATCAGATTTGGGCTCCAGCGAGCGGGGACCGGCCATGGGCACGCCCATGCGCTTCTGAGCCTCCAGCTTGCGCGGACCGTGTGGAAACTTGCCGCTCTTCTTTAGATCCAAATAACGTTCCCCATCCATGTCGCTCAGATCGTCATCGCTGAACAGATCGGACAGGTCCGCCTCCTCCTGCTCCTCGTGCACCGGTCGTGGCTGCAAATTCACGTTGTTGTCGTGGGAGTTGGCGTACATATCGCCAGCATAGCCGCCCATTGTCTGTTTGTGGTCGTGTATGATGTCCTCATAGAAGATATCATGATCCGGGGAACCACCACCCATGCCGCCATGTGGCAGGCCGAGACCTAGACCGTGCTGCGAATCATGTCCCCCTGGCGCTGGCGGTGGCGGTGGTGGCAGCGACATATCGTGAAGCAGATCGTTGCTGCTGCTGCCCAACGTATCGCCAATGTGGACGTCCTTGCGCTCGCTAATGCCGCCACCACCGCCCGTATTCTGGCAGTGGTCGAGACAGCCGTGCCGGCAGATCTCCACCTTGCACTTGATGTGAACGCTCAGCGCATCCGGGAACTTGAAGGCGTGGAAGAAGGCGTAGGTGATGACTGTGGCCCGCTCGTCCGGCGCTCGCGCCTTCAAGAATCGTGAAATCATCTTCGGACGCAGCACGCAGCCAAATTCATCAGAGAGATTGATGACGTGACCAGATCCATCCGAGGCTACACACGACTTTACACGCATATCGAATTCACCTGAAAATAGGAATTCAAGTATTAAATGGTTTGTTTTTAAAGCAAGATTTTCTAATCTTCGAATTTCTGCTAATACTTGTAAAAGACTTTCTCTTCAAAGCTCATTTGTTAATCAGAGTGGTAAGCTTTAAATAGAAGCATTTTGCGAGCTACAGTCAGTAGATGATGAGCAGTAACAATAAACATATTCGAGTTTGCCAGAAATATGGCACTCAAGCATTAATTGTTAAAACAACATCAAGGTGAAGTATTCTAATACTTTACTTCTTTTCATTACTCCTACAGTATCTGTCACGAGATCAATTGCTAAAGGAATTAGTTAACTTGAAGAATTCAAGACAATTCTTCTGAACATCTGAAACACCGCGAGTTACTGTCAGTTTATAAATAAAAATGATGATGAAGTAACTATAACCTAGCAATAACAACACGACTATTTCGAATTAGCATTTAAATAAGGTTATTATATTTATATTGAATAATAATAATTCAAATTTTAACGATGGTCGTTTTATCGATTGATTTATCGCTATTTATTGAAAACTTTTCAGCACGAAATTCTGATCAACTTATTTGAACATTTGGTTTGTTTCCATATCTAAGTCGCTAAGATTTAGTAGATATAGCTATATTTATTTTCTTTGCTTATTCACAAGGCTATAACTCTAATTAAAATTGTCTATACAACTATATCTAATTTTTAATTGCATGCTAAAGATAAGCAATTATTTGTAGACAGAGGGACACTGTGTTGTTTCGATTGAGTTTAAAAAAAGTAGTTTTCTAATTAAGGCGAGTAGATGTTTTATTGAATATACCATAAAATATTTGCAGTGTAGCAGATGGCCCGAATGCGTCGCATACTTACCACGATAATCGTTGATGGCAACCACAAGTGTGAGCGTTGAGCCCAATGGTACGATGCCACTCACCGGTGGCGCCCAGGGACCCTTGCCATGTTGAATCTCCATCCAGCAATCGACATTATCACCTGAGGGCATATGGAGGAGAGGGAGCGGGACGGCACCGCAAATTAATGTTTGTGGTCAAGCGGGTTTTTATTCAATTATGGGCTTACCGCGAAAATCGAGTTGTATTACATCCAAATCGGCAATTACCATCGGCGGCTTCGAGGCGGTCTTCTCGTAATCGTTAAACCATTCGCAGCGCAGACGCTTCGCCTCGTCCCAGACCTCAAGCAGATCCTTGTCATACTGCACGACCACCTGTGGTTTCGATATTAGCAATGCCACGATCGCAGCAGCAAGTTAACCAAATGATGACTGTGGAAAGCTAATGTGGCAGGCAGGTGAATGGCGCCGAAGCTGCCGGTGAATGTGAGAAAGTTCGTGGCAACATGCTCAACAACTATGCCAATAACATATGTGATTACAATTTACAATAAATCACAAATTTTCTGCATTATTCACCTGTCCCCCTCACCTGCCGCCTCCTTCTTCTTAAACGCTATATATAAACCTCCTCAACCTACCGTATTCTCATAAAACTGACCATTGAGGTCAGGCTTTGTGCCGCAACGCGAATAACTGATGCGGAATGAGAAGAATGTCTTGCCCGTCGAGGGTGGCACGTAAACGCATCGTGGATCACTATGTTGACCTGAAAATAGAAGAAGGAAGTAGTAGAATTATCAAAATAGTCATAGAAGTATTTATAAGCATTGTAATACACACCTTTTGAGCTCACAATACCCTCGAATGGATGGGAGAACGTCAGATGGACATCCATGTGGTCCTTACCGCACATCACCTCTAGAGAAACTATGTTTGGCATACCGTCGGGCCGATCCATTGGCCACAATTCATTACCAGCTATGACTAAACTAAACTGCAGTGAGCAAATAAACAAAGAAGGTAAATAGAAATTGTAGTTCAAGATTATTGTGATTTTTTTATTAAAATATATTTAGATCGAATTGAGCAGGTGAGACTTTTATTCATTTATTCATATACGATATGAGTTTATCCCTTCAATGATTTACAAAAATTTAGGCAGAGCTAAGCAGAAGAAATACGGACCCAGAATAATCAACATAATATAATAAATTCAAATTTTCGAAATGACCTTGAAAATGTCACGTCCTTACTCTTTTTCAACCAGTTTTCAATTTGAGTTTGTATGTAAAGTCTAGCACTAAGTTTTGGAAAGGTAGTCCTCGAAAATAGCTGTTAAACAGCAAGCATTGTTTTTTTTGTTTTATCTCTCAATTTTCATATCAATGTGAGGCGCAATTTCACCCCATTTGCGGATCGAATTTTTTACACACCTCTTCATAGAAGAAAACCTATGTCTAATTTCAACTAACAGTTACTTACCAATCATCACTCAGTTAATATAAACAGTAAGCATTCATAGAAAAATAAGGCTTGTGAGTCATTTTGAGTAGATTTTGTTTTTGAAATCTTCCCAGAACCGTAAATTTGTTGCAACAGCAGTATTTTTAATAGTTTAACAATAATTTTGAAGACTTAAAAGACATTCAATAGAAGAGCTGATCCTTCAGCTCCAAACAAATTATATAAATAATATAATTGACTAAAACCTAATAATGAATCAAAAGTATTAATAAATCTTCAACAATTTTCAAACATTTAACTTACAAAATTGAAAATTGAACAAAAGTTGAAAAAATGGATTAGAACATTTCTGCGTAATTTCAAGTAATATAGCAAATAAAGTTGGCATATACATACTACAAGTATATATATGAAATTCAAGAAAAACTTGACCTGTTTAACAATGTCATACTTAGTTTCCAATATGGAGACGTATCTATGATACATGACTTGTTAGACGATATGTGACGCAGTTGTTATTTAAGACTCTGCAAAGGACAATCCATTAAACGAATTTTAAGGATTGCAATGCGATTTTTTTTTAAATTATGTTAGAATAACATTAAGTTTCCAATATAGAGGCGTTTCATGCTTTCCTTCTCCGAAATAGATTTGACTACAGCTCTCAGTTGAGACCATCATGTGCTAAGGACAGTCAACTAAATGATTTTAAATGTTGGTAATGGAAAAATCAGTGTTGGCTCTGAGTCAGAGTTCTGAGCAAGCTGCCGCGATACGACAATTCAACAGTTGGCACAATCGAAACGGCCTCAGTCTAACTGTGCCACAGTCGCTTGAACTACTTTCCATGTCACTCCATACTCCATACTCCATTCAGTGTACTTGTATTAATTTAGCAAACTGTAATTGAAAAGACAAAGAAGACAATAGCAATGCCACAAGAGACGATGGCAGGCGGTGGCAAAAAAAAAAACAAAAAAAAAAAAAACAGTGGAACGTCCCGCTTTGGGGTGAAATGAGTTAAGCGACGTCCAGTTCCCCGTGTCCGCGCCGTCCTCGCCCCATCCCCATCCCATCTCTCCAGCTACCCATATATCCATGTCTCCGTCTTTTCAGCCAACAGCGATGCGACGTCAATGTCCCAATCGGCCAGCAGCCAACATTTCTCAAATTGCCAATGGCAACAACAACAAAATGGTGCAACAGCAACAACAAGACTGTTACAGTTGTTTATTGTTGTTGTTGTTGTTGTTGCTTTTATTTCTTGTCTCTGCGCTGACACCTGTGCGCCGTTCTACTTCTAATTGCTCTGCATGTTCGATATCACTCACATGTGATCGCCAGACATTGTGTCGTTGTGCCGTTAAGCCGCAGAATGCGATCAACAAGTGCACTACTTACTCCACACACACTTACATATACATGTATGTAACACACACACACACATGCACACACACAGTGGTCGACATACATACATAAAGACACATATTTTGACAGACAGAGAACTTAACGTTTGCTTTATGCTGAAGAGAAATGCCGCATTGCAGAAGAAAACTCTAATTACATATTTATTTACATAAAATAAAAAAAACAACCAGAATGGAATGCTACAAGTACAGTTGAGTGGGTCCGACTTCTAAATACCCTGTAAACTAGACAGTTATTTATTTATTTATTTTTATAGCCTGTACCCAAAGGATGAACGGCTATACTAGTTTTGTGCGAATGTATGGAACAGGGAGAAGGGGGCGTTGCATATATATTCTTGATCAGGATGACAAGCCGAGTCGATATATAGCCATGTCCGTCTGTCCGCCTGTCCGTCCGTCTGTATGAGCGCAAGGATCTCAGAAGGTACAAGAGCTAGAATTACCAAACTTGGTATCCAGGTTCCCCTGAGCCCTAGGCAGGTCAAGTTTGTTTTTTTATTTTGATATTTGATTGGTTTTTCAAGAGAGTCTAAATCTAAGCTGTGCTTGATTTCTTCACTAATCGACGCTAGAAATACCAATGCTAGTCTGGTTATTGCAGCTCTTAGGTATACTTCCTAAGACGGACATGGCTGTATCAACTCGTCTCGTATATTAAGCTGGATAAATATGGCTGGAGCATTAGGCGTAGAAGTAGCCCCGTTGTGATGCCAATTAATCCCCTATGGTTTTATTGGCCCGCCTTCGACTGCCCGGAGCTGCTAATAAACTCAGATAATTTTACGATCTCCAGTTTTCATGCTGCTGTGAGATCGCTTAAGTAGGATTGCCCGAAGGCAATGAACCTGGTAGCTGTACATTAACGAAGGAGCAGCTTCTTTAGGAGTCTTTTGATGGGTTGACTTGCCTACCTACCTTAGATTTGTATATTACAAAAAGTATACTTTTTGATTTATTGGAAGGCTTTCATTTATTGTGAGGTGGCGATAAAAACCACTCAGCAATGTAATTTCTTGTCATTAAATAAGTTATTTGTACCACAACTTGGTTTACTGATATCATATCAATAGAGCGATAAAACAATATTTTATCATTCTGATAGAAATACTTATTTTGTTATTTTTATGTTTTATTCTATCTTGGTGTTATTTAATAATTACACGAGTGTTGAGGAATATCACAGTCTTGCATAATAAATATTGTACTATGCAATGGTCAGAAGAGCAAAAAACAGTACCTAAGTCTATAATTTTTATAGACTTTAATTGAAATAATATTATATTTCTTTTAAGTTCTAAAATTCTACAAATTTGTGCCATGCAAACTATTTTTGAAATGTACTCCCAAAATCTGTAAGAGCCATATTGCGGAATTTATTCATAAAAACGAAACTTTTAAATACGATGTATGCTTTTGGGATTTGAATAACTTCAGCTTTTGTGTTAAAACTTGTTACAAACAAAATCGAAATGCTGAAGAAAACGGAAGAAACCCGCCACAGCGGCTCTGCAAATTAGAAAGCAAATTCCAATGGGTGCATCGTATATCCGTTTTTGGATGGCCTGTACTCAGCTGCTTCCTTCGACAACAACACTAACAACAACAACAACAACACCAGCAGCAACAACCAACTAGACAGCTCGTCGTCTATGGAAGGCAGGCGGGCCAATTCGCATGCTCACACGAACTGCCTTGGGAAAAGTTGGCGAGCCTGTAACCAAATTCCGGCTTTACACACATACACCCACACCCAACCACCACACACACACACACACACACACGAAAATCTAACTAACACACACAGATATGTTGCATGCCTATGCGAAGCCATTTTTGTTTGTTTTCGCCAAGCGAAAAAAATATGCTCCAAGCCGGTTGGAATACATTTGCCAGAGTTGCAGTTGAACCTATTGTTGTTGTTGTTATTGTTGCTAATCTGGAAGTTTTTGTTTTTGTTTATACGTATCTCGGATTTGTTTATGGCGCATAGTAAGGTGAGGCAAGCACCAAGAATTGCTGGAAATTCGTGATGAAATACAATAAATATTTCATTAAGCCATAGTTGCTCATATTTCAATTGTTGATGATCGTTCTGACATGCAGAAGAAGCAGATGAAAATGTCTTGATAGTGTATTATCGGCTCATCTACAACGTATCAGCATTATACGTATTTATTCCACGACCTTTCTTCATTAGCAATATCAGTTTGTTCACCACATCTGAGATAACACAGAATGACCGACTAAAATTAGAAATCTACAAGTGCCAATCAACAGTGAATCAGTTCTACTAGTTTTATATAGATTGAGCTATGACTAAGTAGAATTTGTAACATTTCAACAGGCAGTTACATATATAGTTAAGTAATTAATCAAGGTATTAGTTTTTTTTTCATTGACCCTTGTTTATGGTCAAGCAATTATTATCAAATACTTAGAAATATAGTATTGTATTGAAACGTTGAGTATTTTGGTGACCTTCCTCATAGTTATTTTTATTGTTTGGCCGGCTCGAGGTCAGAGTAAGAAAAACCAATTTATTTAATTTTCTTTTCTTTTTCCGATATATTTCGGTTACGCCACGGTAACCGTCTTCAGGGCAACTACAAAACATATAACATAATTAACATATTAAAACTATAACACAAAAATTTTTATATAATTACTTATTTAAGCAAGTCTGCTCTGTTTGACTTGGAGTTACTAACTAACAGGTGTCTGTAAATATGCGCGCAATTTTCGGTGTCTGCTTTGTAGTTAATTCTGTATTTGTTAGGTGTGTTGATAATGTGTAGCGTTTCGAGAGTGAATCGCTTACTGTAGTGTCGTTCTTGTTGAAGTACTTTCGTTTCTTCAAAGTTGGGGGTGTGTCCAGTCTCTATGCAGTGGGTTGTTAGAGCAGTTTTTTGTGTCAATGTTTGATGCCTTAGTTTGTAGTCTGACTTGTGTTGTGATATCCGTGTTTTCAGTTTCGACTTAGTGGTTCCAATGTAAAATCTCCTACATGGGTTGTCGCTGTCTCCGTCACATGGAATTTTATAGACTACGTTATTCAGGTCCATTTCTGCAATTTTTGCCTTAGTCCTATTAAAAATGTTCCTAAGTGTATTCTCCGGTCTGTGCGCAATTTGTATATCCTCTTTTTGATAGCAGTCTGACTGGGTGAAGCGTTCTGAGAACCCAGATACGTATGTCAGAGATTTGTAGATTTTTGGTGCTCTTGGTTCTTTTTTCTTTGGGTTCTTATGGTTCTTGATTAGGGAATACGTCAATTTGATAGGGAAGTCGTTTTGTGTCAGTATCCGTTTAATTTCTTCCTCTATTTGTTTATGGTAAAATTTGTCACTTGTCTCGAACATCCGTCTTATACAGTTCTTGGCTGTATTTATTATCATATTTTTCGGATGTTTCGAGTGATAGTTAATCAGCCTACCCGATGCCGTCGGTTTCTGGTACCATTTTGTTTTTAGCGTATTCCCACATCTATTTATAGTCAAATCCAAATAATTAAGTTTCTCGTCATTTTCTGTCTCTAATGTAAATTGGATGTCTTTGTGGTATATGTTGAGGGCGTCTAATGTCTTTTGCACCTGTTCCTTGTCAATAATTGCGAACAAGTCGTCAACATATTTGGTCAGGAGTCTTGGTCTATGGATCAATTTCGATGTTGTGTTTTCCAGAAGCTCCTCCATGACTATGTCCGCTATTACAGGGGACGCCGGGACACAAGAGATCGCGCAATATTAGACACAGTGGAACAAACCAAAAAATTTCTGAAAACTAATGACAACATTTTAATATTAACTTCGGACAAAGGAAATAAGACGGTAGCCATGGACAAGGAGGAATATAATATCAAAATGACGGATATACTAGGAGACGCAAACACATACAGAACACTCAGGCAAGACCCCACGCTTAGGCTACAGAATAAAAACAACAACTTCGTTGACAAACTACTCCAATTGAACATAATCACAAAGACTGAAAGGAATAAATTAGTTACAAGCACTGCACTACCACCCAGGATCTATGGACTACCGAAAATACACAAAAAAGGAACACCCCTGAGACCGATTTGTTCGTCAGTCGGTTCCCCTTGTCACGAACTTAGTAGATACATCGCTGGGATATTAAAGAACCTGACCAATACCTCACCATATAACGTTAAAAATTCCTCAGAGTTTAAAGACAAGGTCAACAACACTTATATAGTAGACGATGAGATTTTAGTTTCGTTCGACGTGGTGTCTCTGTTCCCGAGCATCCCAATCGACTTAGCGATGGATGTCATCAGTAAAAACTGGACCAGGATAGAAAGCTTCACTAAAATCCCAAAGAGAATGTTTATGGAGATCGTACATTTCTGCATCCGTGAAACAAGGTATTTTAAGTATACGGACAGAATGTATATACAACTTAAGGGACTACCGATGGGATCCCCGGCGTCCCCTGTAATAGCGGACATAGTCATGGAGGAGCTTCTGGAAAACACAACATCGAAATTGATCCATAGACCAAGACTCCTGACCAAATATGTTGACGACTTGTTCGCAATTATTGACAAGGAACAGGTGCAAAAGACATTAGACGCCCTCAACATATACCACAAAGACATCCAATTTACATTAGAGACAGAAAATGACGAGAAACTTAATTATTTGGATTTGACTATAAATAGATGTGGGAATACGCTAAAAACAAAATGGTACCAGAAACCGACGGCATCGGGTAGGCTGATTAACTATCACTCGAAACATCCGAAAAATATGATAATAAATACAGCCAAGAACTGTATAAGACGGATGTTCGAGACAAGTGACAAATTTTACCATAAACAAATAGAGGAAGAAATTAAACGGATACTGACACAAAACGACTTCCCTATCAAATTGACGTATTCCCTAATCAAGAACCATAAGAACCCAAAGAAAAAAGAACCAAGAGCACCAAAAATCTACAAATCTCTGACATACGTATCTGGGTTCTCAGAACGCTTCACCCAGTCAGACTGCTATCAAAAAGAGGATATACAAATTGCGCACAGACCGGAGAATACACTTAGGAACATTTTTAATAGGACTAAGGCAAAAATTGCAGAAATGGACCTGAATAACGTAGTCTATAAAATTCCATGTGACGGAGACAGCGACAACCCATGTAGGAGATTTTACATTGGAACCACTAAGTCGAAACTGAAAACACGGATATCACAACACAAGTCAGACTACAAACTAAGGCATCAAACATTGACACAAAAAACTGCTCTAACAACCCACTGCATAGAGACTGGACACACCCCCAACTTTGAAGAAACGAAAGTACTTCAACAAGAACGACACTACAGTAAGCGATTCACTCTCGAAACGCTACACATTATCAACACACCTAACAAATACAGAATTAACTACAAAGCAGACACCGAAAATTGCGCGCATATTTACAGACACCTGTTAGTTAGTAACTCCAAGTCAAACAGAGCAGACTTGCTTAAATAAGTAATTATATAAAAATTTTTGTGTTATAGTTTTAATATGTTAATTATGTTATATGTTTTGTAGTTGCCCTGAAGACGGTTACCGTGGCGTAACCGAAATATATCGGAAAAAGAAAAGAAAATTAAATAAATTGGTTTTTCTTACTCTGACCTCGAGCCGGCCAAACAATAAAAATTGTATTGAAACCAAAATGGAATAATAAGGATAAGATCATTTTCAGCTTTTGTAGAATTGACGAGAAATTAAACTATTACATAAGTTCATGTGGTGTTTCAAAAACCTTTTCAATGTAGATCAACAAGATTTAAAGACCATCTTGGGATAATCGTTAGATATTTGTCATAATTTAAAAAACATAATTCACCCAGATCTAAAGATCATCTTACTATCACCTACACTTATCTTTATTTATCCATTACTTTTTTATAACTATTTATGAGCTTAATATCATCCAGGGATAATCTTTAGTTATCTTCAAATATTGTAGACTAATACAATTATTTTTGCAATTTTTATTCTATTTATTTATCAACTTAAATGATAAAGCATTACTTTTAGTTGAGATAATTCCTTGTGAGCGATTAAATAAATAATAATAAACCGTAATCAACATAATTTGTGTTTCTAAGTAAGTTGATTGTTTGTGCGCTGTCATCGTAAAAAAACATTTTCCAATTTTCAACAAGAGAGAACGCTACAGTCGAGCAAGCCCGACAGTGTAATACCCTGTACCCAGGTAAACTTCCGTCACTGAGTAATATGCGCCCAAAGCAGCAGCAAAAAGAGGAAGAAGAAGAGCGAATTATTATATATATAAATTATGTGTGCAAAGTTTGGTTTAGGTAGCATTGGAAATGTGGACGCTATTGACGTAATTCTGTAGCGGGGGAAGGGGGGAAAATTCCAAAAAATAAAATAAACTCGTCCTTTCTCGGACATAGGAGAATCTGGATGCCAACTTTGGTTATTCTAGCTTTTATAGTTTCTGAGATCCTTGCGTTCATCCAGACGGACGGACAGACGGACGGACATGTCTAGATCGATTCCTCTCGTCATGCTGATTCAGAATATATATACTTTATGGGGTCGGAGATGCTTCCTTCTGCATGTTACATACTTTGCACAAACCTAATATAGCCTTTTTACCCTACGGGTACAGGGTATAAAAACAGAGAGAGAGAAGAGCATTAAGCTGTTCTCGCAGTAGCGATTAGTATAATTGTTTTCTGGCAATTTTTGGAGTATAAAGACTCGGGTACATATGTACATACATACATATGTTCAAACACTTGTGCCCCCAAGACTGCGCACAATGGGAACATATTAGCGCAAATATCAATCATCAGTTTTTTGTGTTTTAATTAAATTTTCAAATTCAAGAATTTTGTATGCCTATTACGAGTGGAATTTCTGAAAGATTTACCAAAATATCAGAAGTAGACACTTCGTCACGTCTTTATTACGATATTCATATATTCGATTGTTTCAATATTTTCTGCAACTTCACCCAGAAAATTGAACAATTAATTATTGATTAATGATGAGAAATTGAAAACGATAATTTAATGGATAATGATTACCAAAGAATTTCTTTTTTTTTTTTTTTTTTTAAGAAACAAAAAGAGAATAAACTTAGCCTGTAAAAAAATTCGTTCAAAACTGATCAGTATTTTATATTGTGTATCTTTAGGAATGCTTGATGATGACAGATGATGATTATTAGAACTAGTCTCAAATCTATTTGGAAAACGATATTAAAACATGTATATCAAGTTTTTTTTTAATTATGTCTGTCGAAGTAACTGATGAATATTTCATATTTTGTACCTTTAGGAATGCTTGATGATGATAGACGAAGATTATTAGAACTGCTATTAGAAATGCTTTAAATGGTGTAGACATGTCCTAAGTTCATGAATTTAACTTTTAATTCATATTTTATGGTACATTTTTGTTCGTGTCATGAGAATTTAAAGTCACCAACGTTTTGTACGATCATTGATTGGTTATCAATATGCTGGCAGTGCTATGTATTTTATCATCGAGTAGTTTCCATTTTCGCCCACCGTGTGAATGCGATCTATGATTTTAGAAACTATAAACAACACTCAGCATGACGCCACAAAATCAAAACATATCTTCGTACATACGGAAAGGCAGAGCTTCGCAGATAATGCCAAGCACACATACACAAATATTTGCGCATCTATATATGTATGTGTATGTGTGTATGTGTATGTGAGTTGAAGAGCACCCGCACAACTCGTTATAAACGGTTGCCCGATCTAACTATAAGGTTCAGTTGATGTACGACCAGCGAGCGGTATAGACGGTCGACGCAACGATACAGATCGGCAGTTACAAATATATACGACGTAAAGCTTAATTAATCAACAAAAAAGCTCACACAAGCCTACAACAACAGCAAGAATATTATTTGGAAATGGAACGCTGGTTGAATCGCGTGGCCGTCGTTACTGGCGCCAGCTCTGGCATTGGAGCCGCCTGCTGCAGAGATTTGGTGGCCAAGGGCATGGTTGTGGTCGGCCTTGCTCGTCGCAAGGAGCGTTTAGATGAGTTGAAGGCGGGCTTGCCGGCCGATCAACGTCAACGCTTCCACGGCTATAAGTGCGATGTGAGTGTCGAGGATGAGGTCGTCAAGGCGTTCGCCTGGGTCGATAAGGATTTGGGTGGTGCCGACGTGCTGGTCAACAATGCCGGCATTGTCCGCCACACCCAAATCACAGATGCCGGCAATGGTGCTGATCTGCGCGCCATCCTCGACACCAATGTGCTCGGGGTCTCTTGGTGTACCCGGGAGGCCTTCAACTCCCTCCAACGGCGAAAAGTTGATGATGGACATGTGGTGATCGTCAATAGCGTTGCTGGCCATAAAGTGCCGGTTGTCCCCAACTTCAGCTTCAGTATGTATGCCCCCTCCAAGCATGCCGTTACCGCCCTGACTGAGGTATTGCGTCAGGAATTCCTCAACAAGGGCACCAAAACCAAAATCACAGTAAGTCCCTTGTAATAAATACTCTCGTATATATCATTTGTATTTGATTGATAACAATTGTGGAACTTTGCAGAGCATCAGTCCTGGCGCTGTCGATACTGAAATTATCGATAAGTCCATAACGGAAAAGGTCGGACAAATGCCAATGCTACGTTCCGAGGATATCTCCGATGCTGTGGTTTACTGCATTCAGACACCGCCCAATGTTCAAATACATGATCTGATTATCAAGCCAGTGGGCGAATTTTTCTAAGCCCAACAGCTTTATGTACAAGTATAAAAACAATCTACTTTTTTTTCAATAAATCCCACTGATGACAAAATACAGACATACTTAATACGTAATAGAATCAAAAAGTTAATTATGTTAAAGTAATCTTTCATTTTTTTATGTCATATAGTTACAACAGTTCCTATACAGTTGTTGATAGTGTTGAACCAAAAAAACAAAACAACGCAGTGAAAGTGAATTCAAAAGTCCTTTCCTTTACAATTTGTCTTAGGCTTGTTAGTTGTACTTTTAGTTCTCAGTTTTTGACCAATTTTTGACCGATAAAGTTATACCAACATGCTGGCTATTTATATTTTTCCGCGAAGCAATTCTACCTTTTAGCAAAGCAAAACCAAGCCCTCAGCATGATGGCACAAAATACAAGTAAAATGCGTTTGCGAGTTTGCTTAAACATACCATATGTTCGTATGTTCGGAAACTCAGAGACCCAGAGAAACCACCTTGGTTTGTGCGCGATATCCACATAAATACACACACACACACAAGCAGTGAGTTGGAGAGCGCACAATCTAATGATAAGGTTCAGGTAATGTAAGAGAGGCGCTGATCGGCAGTTAAAAATACTCGTATGTACGACGTAAAGCTTAATTAGTTAACAATTAAGCTCACGCAAGCCTACAACAACAGCAACGATTTGGTGGCCAAGGGCATGGTTGTGGTCGACCCGGCTTGTCGTTAAGAGCGTCTAGATGAGCTGAAGGCCGACTCACTATTAATCGAATAAAGTTGCCTGGGGAATTGAAATTTGTTAATCTCTTGGTTGCTTTCCGTAAGTTGGCCAATTTTAGATTTTAAAATTGTTTACTTTTAATTGTAATTTAAGAAGATAGACCTAAAGTCAAACTCAACAAATTTTTTTTTTTAATCTTAAATTAAATTAATAATTAAGATCTGTCCTAAGGAGGACAATTTCACAATACAATATAACTTCAACTCAAAATGAATGAATTTTCAAAACGAATTACAATTATTACGTTTTTTTAGTTTTCCTGAAGTGAAATTAATGACAACTCGAAAGTAATTATTTAAAAGCTTGTGTTTTTTAACAAATAATAGTTTTTGTGAAAATCTTCTCTAAATAATCAAAATTCTTGAAAAATATGACAAAACTGTAATTCCGCAAGTTTACTTCTGAAAACTTGAAAATTGATCAAATCAACGTTAAATTTTGCATTTGGAGTGCATTTATTTAGTTTCGCTTCGTTAAAAAAAAAAAAATAAAATATATTTCGACATGGAACCTAAGCCGTAAAAATTGAATATTCATGCACATTATGGCAAGGGAGGAAGGTATCGAAATGCGTATTCGAGAGCCTGAACTGAACTTCTTAACATTGCCATTAGGTGTTTGAACAATACATATCTAGCCATGTATAAAGATCAAAAGACCGGCAAGGAGGCTTCCAACCAGTCGGAGTCGTTTACTGTCCGATTTTTTAGGCTTTTATAGCGCATAGTATATAGTATATACATATAGGTAATAAAAGTCCATACATTGGATATAAATTAACGATGTAGAACGTTCCCCATCTGTTAAGTGTATAGCAATGCAATTACGAACGTACTATATATAAATAAACAAAACAAAATATAGTTTACAGATGAATAGTTTTTATTTACTCACCATTAATTGTAAAATAAATATACAGCTACCGAGTCTAAGGTCCCACAGCCGTGTCGGGCCTTTTTGTGGGCTCCACATGCTGGCGCAGTGGGAGCGGCGACTCAATCTGAAATGAAACCAAAAAACAGAGATAAGTAAATACGCTGAGTTGGCTTGTTGGCCCTGTCGGGCGATAATTTCCCTAGACAAATGGACGGGTAAGAGGAGAGATGAATGGCAAACCATTCAAGACCCAATCAGTCTGCATCGGTAATGGAGATGTGAAGTCAAGCGGCACGAGTATATTAATGGTCCAAATTAGCGCACCTGAGAGCACTTGAAAGTACCGAAGCATTTCTCTGGCCAGCCTAATGAATAAAACCGCAAATACACAATTACCGACAATTTCAAGTGCGATCGCTGACAGACACGCATCGAGCGATCGATCGATCCATCGCACTGGCCCAACCGCAGTGGGAGAAAATGGAAATGAAGAGGCAGCTCAGAAGTTAAGAGGGTGCTACGAAATGCTGTATACTCTCGCAGATAGTGGAAGTGAGGGGAGATCGCTTTAAATGGCAGCTTCGAATTGTTGTTTTAATTTTGTAGCTTTTGGGTATTTAACAATTTAATCAAATATAACGAATAACTATTGGGGTTGTATAACTAACTAGCTTTTCATTTTCAATAGCAATTTTAATTTTTTACCTTACAATTATAAATAATGGAAATTTGTTTAAGTAGTTAAGCGATGAAGAGATAATGTATATTAATGATAAGAACATAACTGAATATTTATTTATAAAGCAGTTATGACGTACTGTGCAGTTTGGCTGGCAGTGGAACTTTTAAGCAGTTAAGCAATTAATCGAACTATCGTGAAGTCCCTAAATTAATTACATGTTAACGTTCTGTCTATGTAGAATTGTTTAAAATTTGACATTTAAGCAGTTAAGCAGTTAATCGACGTTTTGTGAAGACCCTGATGAATTACATTATAACGTATTGTATAGTAGTGTTTAAAAATGTAGTATTTAACTTTTAAGCAGCTAAACAATTAATCGACGTCTTGTGAAGACCCTGATGAATTACATTATAACGTATCGTATAGTAGTGGTTAAAAATGTAGTATTTAACTTTTAAGCAGCTAACCAATTAATTAAATTCACTTATAACGTTCTGCATAGAATTGTTAAAAAAATTGATATTTAAGCAGCTAAGCAATTAATCGACGTCTTGTGAAGACCCTGATGAATTACATTATAACGTATCGTATAGTAGTGTTTAAAAATGTAGTATTTAACTTTTAAGCAGCTAAGCAATTAATTGAATTCATTTATAACGTTCTGCATAGAATTGTTAAAAAAAATTGATATTTAAGCAGCTAAGCAATTAATCGAGCTATCGTGAAGTATATAAATAAAATTATAACGTTCTGCATAGAATTGTTAAAAAATGTATATTTAATTATTATTTTATGATGAATTAAATTATAACGTATCATATAGCGGTGGTCAAAAATTTAATATTTAACTAAATAAATGAACAAAATTATTTTAATAATATTATAACATAGTGTATATAATGGTTAAACATGCTTAAGCAACCAAGCAATAACTCGATATTTTGTAAAGAATAAATTTTATAATGGCTAGTTTTTTTAGGCGTAGAGTAAATAGAAACGCAGATATGTATTTAAATTTGTGTATAGATATAACGCATTTCATACAATTAATGTATTTACAAAAATGCCTTTAAATTATACAATGGATATAATAACAGGCACAACGAGGCGGGGCAGATCAGTCCGTCCGACTGTTTGACCGTATGAACACTAAGAACTTGCGAACCATAATGATACCGAACTTGAGTTATAAAATTAAATTATCCATGCGCTGAGCAAGTTGAATACAAGTATAAACCACAAATACCCTCATTACAAGTATAACAGTCATAGAACCGATTGGCGCACAAAAAATACTGTTGATAGAATAGTCTTCTTTTTTTTAATATCTTAAGCAAATCTGGTATCATTTAGTTTTAATTAGTTATAGTGATATTCTAGAGTTTCATCAAAAGCTGTGCATTATATAGCTGCAAAAATGAACAATTAGAACAAAAACCGTCGCAGTCAATTTTGGTATTTATTTGAATTTTGAAATTGTCCCATTAGAATACTAAAGTTGTATTGAAATCGGTTAGCATATAGCTTTCATAGGAAGTATAGGCACAAAAACCAATCTAATATCGTAACAAAAATGTGTGCTTATCAGTTTTTTCAGTGCCTGACTACAAATATAACTTAAATTTGTTTAAAATCGGTCGCCATAGAACTAATTGGTACAACAATGTTTATTTAAATTGAATGGCTCAAGGGTGTATACAGTGTACAGTGTATTTAATAGTAGGGCTGCATCGAGTTAATAATTTTTAATTTGTGTTAAGGCTTTACATGTTTCCAGTTGGCGATGTCGGCAACATTTCCCACATTCGTTTGAAACAATATCGATTCAAATACGTGTATGCCGGCACATAGCCGGCAGCAAGTGCGGATAAGAAAGAGAAAACGACTGGGTATTATAGTATCTGAATGATATGATCGAGTTTGCAGTCAACGCACGGTCTCTCCGTTTAGTCAATGGTTGACGACGACGTTATTGCCGTGGACCCAACCCCATCCTCATCCACATGCTCATCCGCGAGCTCCCAATGCGCTGCACCTTTCGGTTCACACGCCAACCACAGGTAGTCGTTGGTGGCAGCAGTGGCAGCGACAGCGGCAGCTGTAGATGCGGTTTCGGTTGCTGTTGCAGTTGCAAGACGGTTGACGACGACGATGACGATGACGACGACCCGCAGATCGTGACCCATAAAACCGCAATGAAAGAAAGCAGCGAGCAGACTCACTGCAATTTGTCCGGCACGGCGACGTGCAGACATTTTATAGTTGATCGTCAGATCGGTTCTTGTTGAACGTTGCAATTTATTGTGCCTCGAAATGATGACGTGCGCCAATTTGTAAAATGTTGTTGCTGCCTTTCTGCGCCGGCACAACAACAACCACACCACACCACACCACCAAAGGTTACCAAAATTTGTTTTTTATGGCCACTCATTCATTCATTCATTCACTCATTCAGTCAAAAATGCTGCCGGCATCATCATCATCATCATTTCAGCAGTACAGGAGAACAGCAGAACGCGGTGGCATCAGTACCAGCATGCGGTATGCAAATTTTTAGAATGTACCCTACAGTGCAGCCTCCCTTCAGAGAACATATCTTTCATAAAAAGAAATCTCTGCTGTCCATTTTAATTCTATATCTTTTATCTTTTTATTTTTATTGTTTTTTTTACCATTTTCCTGCTATTTATTTTTAAATATTTTGGGTTAGTTGTTTCAAAATTTGTTTTTTTTTGATTCATTATGTTCTAAAATTATTTTCTGTTGTTTTAGATATTGTTTTAAAATGATCTGTTATTGTAATACCTCTTTATTGTTAAGTCTAATCGATCTTTTGCTGTGAAATTCAATTCCCCCAACGAATAGGATTCACTGTTAGATACAAGTATACGTATTATAATAATATTGCTAGACTCTTTTATTGTGAATGTTTTTTTCTATTTTCGTAATGCTGTGTACAACAATTTTCCAGCACCTAAAAGATCGCTAAGCTATGAACTGATGAAATATTTATTTATAACAAATTGTATTCACAAAAGTTTCCTGCAGCTGAAAAAAATCTCATAAATGCACTAATTATATAAAAACCTAAAACTTAATTTTGAACTAGAAAGATCATCAATTTAGAGACAAGCATGTGGTCCATATTTTTAAAAAAAATTATAAAAAGATTAAAGATTCTGCTTTTGTGATTGGTAGGACAGGCTAGAGGGAAGATAGGCTAGAGGGAAGACAGGCTAAATAGAAGGCAGACTGGAAGGAAGACAAACTAGAGCGAATACAGACTTTTCTAACAAGACCATTGCTAATTCTTATTATCTATATTCCCTTTCTCAAATAATATCTTATGTTTATTATTTACTATAACTATTTATTATGCAGTGCTAATATTTTCTTCGGCGCATTCTTTAAACCGATGCTTAACTGTAGTGCATGAAATTATGCAAATCAGTGTCTTGCCAAATTGGCTTTTGGGCCTGACATATTGTTTTTGGTGCTTGCAAAATTACAAACTCAAGACTAATTAAGTTGTACTAATTGGTTCTCATTAACACAAGAGAAGCAAACAAGTACTCGAATGCCCGAATGCCGGGGGCTACAATCCCGAAATCTGCAGTCAGAAGACAGGGCTTGCAAATTCAGAGAAAGAGTCAACTACTGAGTGTTGAAGAGCCCTGTTTTAGAGACGAAATTTTCAAACTGTATTATCCCAAGAAAAACTTAACAAATATGCAATGTTTTGAAAATTTTTATTAAAAGTAAGATGTCAAATGATTTTCAGCAAATTGAACCCCAATATGTGTGCCATAAATGAAGTCCATTGTTTTTTTTTTTTTTTTTTTTATTATTTTCTATTCACACATCAATTATAAGTAATTTCTAACAAGAATTTCTTTGTTTTGGGAACACCAAGATTGTCTTCCCTGCTCACTCAAATAAATACTACAAACAAATCTAAAGGTCGATGTAAGGGGTTAAGGATGAGTATGCGACTTAGTTGTTCATCATTTAGGACAGGGGATTACAATTATCATATGCATTAGGATAGCTACATCGTTTAAGTGAATCTATACTTCCATTCCCATCTTAGTGCCTGTCTAATATTGAATACAAAATTCATTTTTTTATGTCTAGAATTAATTTGTTTCGCCGCAAGCATTAAACATTTCTCAGCGCTGCTGCGACCCTGACCCTCTTTTGAAATAATTGGCGATCAACCGCCCATCTCTCTGTTACTGCAGATACATATAGCTGTATATGTATGTAGGTATGGCTCTCAACTCTATATAGTACTTGTATTTTATTTTATAGGGGCTTGGCATGAAACAGAGCTATTGTTAAAGTCTCGAAATGATGTTGTGCCAATTTCTCATTTAGCACACTTTGCGTATTACAGTCAATTGCTTAGAGAGTC